AGCACTGTAAAATAAAGAACTTGATCTAATTATACCTCTTCTGAGGTTTTCTTTAAATTGTAATTTTAATTTTTTCATTTCATAGTTTGATAGCCTATAAGTAGGGCCAAATAGAAGTACTATACTATCTTGTAAAATAATTTTATGATTGATATTATATTTTGAAGATAGATTATTAGATAACTCTCTTAGAAAAATATTATCATATTTTTTTACTACTGCACTTAAAAATTTAGTAATATTAATTGGTTTTTCTTTTGATTTTGCTGTATTTACAGCTAACACTATATACAATTCTGCTACTTGCTTAGCATCATTGGTCAATTGTTATCAAATTACTATGATTGTTGAACATTCTTGGTATTTTATATAGGCTTTTGTATTTATTTATATATTTTTTCTTTCTTTAATATAGAAATATAGTTTGTTTTATAATTAATTCTTGGATTATAATCATGCAATCAGGTTTGCTAAAGATATTATATTTTTGTAGTAGTAGTACTTCCAATTATACTTTTTCTTCTTTTCAAGAATATAATGAATCTTTAAATTTCTTATACATCTATGTAACTCACAAGAGATACTATCTACTAATTCTACTTTTGTATATATGCTATTAGTTTGATTTAATAGTATTTGATAGTTTTTAACAAATTTCTTGTTTATAAAGTCTTTGGAGATACCAGAATCGATAAGTATTATAGTTTCCTTATTATCTATTTTATCTAAAGTCTTTCTTTATTTGGTTGATTACATGATTCAACTGTACTAACTTGTTCAATATTTTTGTTAGATACCTGGGTTGTTTTATAACTTGTTCTTGAATTTGTTATTTGTTTGTTAGAGCAATTTTTTGTCAGATGACCTCTTTGGCTATATCAAAAATATAATTCTTTTTGTCTTACTTTGGTTTTTTAGAATCATTCACAGATTTATAGATTCCCTTTTTATATTTTTTGTATTTGCTGCCTTGGCTTTATTGAGTTTCATTGATACTAGTTCTACTATTCTTGGTCTTTCCCTCTTTTGAGTACTGCTTTGAATATTATTTAATATATTTTGTTCGTCTTGATTCTTCCATATATTATGATATCATAAGTAGTAGCTAGTTTAATAGTATCATTCAACTT